TCAGAGCAAATGTGTGGGCTGACTGCAAGTGACTATGCTTCAGTTTAAAAAGTGCAAAAGTTCACCTTAGTAATTGTTGTGCAAATTATTAAACATGACTACCTGCTACAAAACAACTACTAACTTTTCTTTTTACAAAACTTATACTTGTAGAGCTTCCAGCTAGAAAAGGTTTTCAGGTTTTTCCAACTGCGACAAATGAAAAAAGTACAGTGTTGTTAAGTCCTTGCTTCTAAATATGATAAAACTGGCTTTTATTAGGGTTAGCTGAATAATATTGTGGATAAAGTAAAAACTTAAAAAAACAAAACAAACCCTATACTACGTTTAGGCTGCTCGTACTTTTTTAGTATGTCGACGTAACAAGAAGCAACTGTGGAAGCCACAAAGCAATACATCCTCTTAAATGTAAATTATATTTTAAAATCTCAATGCTTCAAACTCAGGTCTCCTCTAGATTTTCTGTTTATTATATTTTCAGATCAGCAACGTCAACCTGGGTCAAAATCCCCATGAGAATCGCTTGCCAGGTTTTTAGGTAAGCCTCGCTCGTCATTTCTCTCAAAGCTTTAGCAATAACAAAAAACAAACACCCACATGCTGAGACATGCGTCACTCCATTTCATCATTAATTAAACAAATTAATAAAGATAAAAGAAACAAATTGAGGACTTTAAATGTGTGCACATGAGAGACAACAAAAAAAGCACATTTTAAAAACGAAATAAAACACTGAGAAAGTTTAAGGGAATCTACTGGTTAGATGTAAATACTGTGCTGTATTCTGGCTTCCTTTTATATTTAGATCTTGAGGTAATTAGGTCAGCGCACTTCTCAAATAAAGCTGGAAGCTTTCATTTTACTCAGGAAGAGTGGTTTTGTTTTAAAAACTGAGAAAGTATGTTTCATCATAAGATTGTTAACCTTTTGGATACCAATACTTCTTGGATAGCCAGCTTTAAAGTATTCTTACACCATTAGTTTGCACAACATTAAAAATAAGATTAAAAGTGTGAAAAAGCATTAAAATTATGCTTTTTCACACTGGTCATATGTCTTTAGTTTAAAGCAGTGAGCTGTTATTACCTTCTGCATTAATAATGTATAACCTACCTCTGCTGAGTAACACCTCACAGGAATTCCAAAAGCTCGAGCCAAACCAAAGTCAGCCAGCTTCAGCTCTCCGTTCTACAGACAGATAAACAATTCTTACTATAATTATCAAAGCATATAAATGGATACATGTCTGTATCCACATTCTCACCTCCCTGAGTCAATCTAACAACATTTTGACGTTAATACGGCAATATTAACACCTTTGTTTTTTTAAATTTATTCTAAATCCCACTCCTTTTGAATTATATTATGTATATTATCATTTCATCGTCGCCCCGTGAATGCAATCTCTGTATCACACATGGTAAACTAAGACTAAGTAAACTAAGTAAGCTGCAGTGCTCAAATGAATGAACTTCAAAACAAAAGATATTACACAGAATCTCAATGATAAACTCAGTGGTGTTTGTTTTCACAAAGAAAACCAGTGTCCATCTCACTTAGTTTTCACTTTAAAGAAATAGTATACTGATGGAGTCCACAAAGCAATGAATGTTTATCAGCCATCAAGTCCAAATGCACCTAAACACTCACTCTGTTGATGAGGAGATTCTGCGGCTTCAGATCTCTATGAAGAACATTTCGACTGTGACAGAAAGCAAGGCCTTTCAACAGCTGGTACATGAATGACTGTACAGGAAAACAAACAGCATCAACAATATGGAGTTAATTTGAAATTTTACGCATAACACAGGCTTTTAAGCAGTCAAGTTTACATAGTTTAAATGTGCTTCATGTTTATGCCTCACCTTCACAGTTTCAGGATCTAGATCCCCGTTGCAGCTGTCGAAATACTTCTTCAAATCCTGCAGCAGAGAAGAGAGACATATTAGCCTCAGAAGGTACATATTAAGATATAGTGCGTTTTAGGGGTGACCAACTCACCTGATCACAGTATTCAAAAACCAAGGTTAACTTCTTGTCACTGTGCAAAACGTCATGTAGTCTAAAAAAAAGGCAAAATAATATTCTGTTGGTGTTTGTTGACATCAGGGTTACATGCAAACTGGAGGCATTCAGCTCTTCTGGCAGACTTACCTGACAATGTTTTTATGTTTCAGTTCTTTCAGAAGACAAATTTCTCTCAGAGCAGAACTAGGCACCCCCTAAAAGATTTTTTTTTTTTTAATTTAATAAAACAAAACAAACAGCTTCCATTTAGTACTAGCCTGCTAACTACTAGCTAACAAACACTGTGACTCTCACATCATTTTATAAAGAACAAACCTCGTCGTCGTCGTCCAACCTGACCCTTTTCAAAGCCACAATTTCATGGGTTTCCCTGTTTTTTGCCTTAAAAACGGTCCCATATGTACCTATGGAGCAGACAAAATGTATTTAAACCACATATCCCGATGAATGGGCACAGCTAAGGGGTCCTAATATTAGCTCGCTACATGCCCACCGTTAGCTAGCGTTAATATAGAAAAAGTGGAAGGCAGAGCTTTTCGGACTGGCACTGTTACTAGCACATAGTAGTGCGAGTAAAAACTCGCAATTTTTCCATGTGGTTAACAGGGACATACATTAACGAATACATATTACTTAAAGATTAGCTAACTTTAGCCTTCGACCTGCATGAATGCTACATTAGCATGCTAGGCTAACTAATATCAACCTTGCGAAATTAACCAAAACGAAAGTCTGAAACTTACCCTCCCCGATTTTTTCAAGCTTTTCATATTTCTGCATGTTTGGCCAGTGAAGCCAGCCTCGAATACGTTAAAAAACCAACGAATGACAACACCCCAAATTGGGGTGAAAAGAAAATGTTTTTGTAGCTAGCGTTAGCTTAAATCTGTCTGCTATTGCTGCTGCTCTTCGGATTGCAGCCGAGCATGTCTTGTTTGTCATCTACAGGCTGAAAGTCGAATTACAGCAACTTTGAAACTAACCTGCTATAATGAACAACATTTTAATAAGCAGAATTTCGTGTCCTTAAAAAACATCATTTGTGAAAATTGTGTAAAAGGCAAGTTTATGTACAAAAGTAAAGTAATCCATAATAACCATTAAAGCTCATTAAAGATGGCTCATTCACGGAGGTGTTGCTGCAGACAAAGTGATAATATGAACATGGTAGAGATGGAGGACTAACATAATCTTAAAGTGCAAATGTATTCTAAGAAGTTGTGAGACTGTTAATTTCTTCAGTAGACTTCCAATATGGCCTAATATATATGTGTAGTGATGTAAACACAACTTTAAGGCGATATAAATTTTATCTCCTTTGTGATGTGGTCAGCAAACAAGCCCATTGTTCGGAATACTGATTGCTATTGTTTATTATTACAAAAGAATATGTCAGCACATACAGCTGCAATCCCTAATTTTTTGAACAAAAGAACAATTTTTTGGTGTTTCCTCTATACACCACAGCAGTGGATTTTAAATCAAGCAATCAAAATCAAGCTGCATATTTCCCGCTTTAATTAAAGGAGTTTTTACAAACGTTTTGCATTAACTGTTTAATTACAGGCATTCTCTATAGTCACCCATTTTCAGAGGCTTAAAAGTAATTGGACAATGGATTGACAAGCAGTTTCATAGCCAGGTGAGGCCTGTTCCCATGTTCTGTCATGATAAGTGAACAGGACATAATATCCAAACTTGATTAAATGTTTTGAGTTTATATTTTAAAGCTTTTCGCTGTAATTTAAAATATGAGACTCAGAGATGTTAGTGCAAGTGAAGAAGGCTATCAGAAGGCTAAAAAGGACAATAAATCAATTTTAGGGGAGGCCAATAGAATAGAATAAATCTTTATTGTCACTGATGTAAGAACAATGAAACACAGTTTGGCATCTCTCTGTTTGCAGCTTATAGAGATGCCAAAATGCGTTTCAAATCAATAACCTGGTTCATTATTAAACATAAGGAATGGGATGACCAGCTCAGCAACACCAAAAGGCCTGAGTGAGTGCAAAACTAATGTGGATGATGACAAAATTATTTCTATGATTAAGAAAAACAACTTCACAACATCTTACCAAGTTAAGAACACTCTCTAGGAAATTGCTCTATTATTGTTGAAGTTTATAATCAAGAAACACCTTCATGGGTTTACAACATGCTATAAGTTTACACTCAAGAACAGAGTGTAACAACAAAACATCTTAAAGAGCCAAAAGATTCTTTAGTCACATAAACCAAGATTAACTTGTACCAGAACAATGCTAAGTAAAAGAAAAAGCTCATAATCGTGCCCATATCATAACATGGAGCCAATGTTATAATATGGGCATGGTATGTACCACAAAGTGTGATTGCTGACAGAATTAGCATGAACTGTGTGCAGGGCTATACTCTGCTCAGGTTCAGCAGGGTTAACTGAGTGGAGTGAGCGTCACGATGCAAACAATCCAAAGAATGCGGCAGAAGCAATCCAAGAGTTTTTACAAGTATCACTGTCTTTATATTTAAAATTGTTAGTTTGTCCAACTAGTCTTGAGCCTCTGAAAATGAGGCATTATGTATAAAAATGTCTGTAACTCGTACAGTAAATTGTTAATGAAATTTTTGTTAAATGTCTTGAACCTTTAAGTCAGATGTAAAATCCACTGTGATAGTGTACAGACAGAAGACTACAAAAAGTGTCTTTGTCTAACAAACCATGGACCTAACTTTAGTCTTTTAAGAGCACAAGGGATATGTGCTGGCTGTGAAGTTTCTTCTTTACATGTGGCCTGGATGTAGTAAAACTATATATACAAATGTATGTGGAGGCAAAGAAGAATGATGCCAAAACAGCAATTCCTTCCCCAGAGTTTAATTTTAGAATAATGTCAGTACTGATCACTGGTAAGGGTCTGTGTTGAGTTTCTTTCAAATTTGTAACAAGAAAGGTTTATTGTCATCCACAAACAGATAAAAAACACTTTAAATTCATTTAAGTAATTTTAATATTTTGTTCCAGCACATTATAATCTATCATTCTATCAACAATACTGGAAATAACAGCGCATACAGTAGTGTAATTTGTTCATCACAGGCCGATCCACATTGGTCCATTTGTTCATACACATTTGTAAGTTCTCATAAAACTAGTCACAGAGCTGGCAAATTTACAGTACATTTTAAATAATTAATTTTCCACACGTCTTGCTATGCATTTCAAAATAAACACCATTATACAGTATTATACAGCTACTGTAAACAAATATGGGTGTGGTCATTTTTGCCCCTCAGCTCTTTGCCTGCGGATGAGATCAGAATAATATCCTCCTTTGCTCAGCAGTTCCACATGTGTCCCAGCCTGTAACAAAAAGGAAAAAGGTGTTAGATATAATAAAAATTGATATAACACAATCACCTCAACAAGAAAGCTACCAGTATGTCCATATGTATTACTAAATACTGAAAGAATTCAATTTTTTTTAAGTACATCTCTGACATTAAAAGCTAGAGTAAATTAGCTGGAGGATTTAAATGGAGGTCAGAGTATGTTCTGAATACTCAGCCTTCTCACCTCCACAATACGACCATTGCTCATCACGCAGATCAAGTCAGCCCTTTGAATGGTGCTTAATCGGTGGGCGATGATGAGCACAGTGCGACCCCTTGTGGCTCTGTCCAGAGCCTCTTGCACCACTCGCTCTGATTCTGCATCCAGAGCACTTGTGGCTTCATCCAGCACCAGAATACTGGGGTTCTTGATCAAAGCGCGGGCAATGGCAATGCGTTGTTTCTGTCCACCTGATAATGTCACACCTCGCTCACCTGGATTCAAAGACCTGGAGTTTAGAATGAACAAGCGGCACTGTTTCTTAACAGTTGTGAAAGCTCAAATGGGAGCACATACCAACCACGGTGTTATAGCCGTCTGGGAAACCCGTGATGAAGCCGTGAGCATTGGCTTGCTTTGCTGCATTAATGACCTCAGCATCTGTAGCCTCAGGCTTCCCAAAACGGATGTTCTCCATGACGGATGATCCAAACAAAACTGGCTCCTAAAAGAAAGAAGAAAGAGGAAAAAAAGAAAGTTGCAGTGAAAATTGTTAGGAAGTAATACTTTTTAAAAATTGAACATGAAATGATCAGCAGCCTTGACCTGATTGATGAATCCGATAACTTGGCTCCTGAGCCAGCAAAGGTCAAGTGTTCGAATGTCGAGGCCGTCCAACATGACTACGCCGCTGGTAGGGTCATAGAAACGCTCCAGCAGGGACGCCACTGTGGACTTTCCTACAGGGTTAAACATTTATCAGATGACCCAATATTGTTTGAATGTCGAACAGTTACTGAATGAAATGTCAGAAATTACCTCCTCCAGATTCTCCAACAATGGCGACTGTTTTACTGGGTGGTAGTGTCAAACTGAACCTCTGCAAGACTTGATGGCCTGGTCTCGTTGGATAACTGGAAACATATCAATAGAAAACAATACATCATTCACAAAACATTCTTTTATGTCTGTGCTCAGTTGTAGTTTTAAACTTAGATTTGATTTGGAGCTGAATTAGAAGGATTTCAACCTGAACGAGACATTCATGAAGTCCACTCTTCCTGTGAGTGAATGGTATGGGATGCGTCCTCCTCCAGAGAGGGGGATAGTGGGCTGCAAAGCAAGGTATTCAAAAACCCGAGCCCCAGAGCTCATTCCTCTTACCACCTGCGGCAAATGTTAAGAGATTGCCAGCAAAATATTTGAGGCATTTGGAAATGTTCACATATTATAATACTCCAGTTTCAAATCTGGTTGGATAATCAGATAATCGTAGTTTTTACTTACTTGCCCGAAAAGTATGGAGATACTGGCCAAAGACCTAAACATAAAATGAATGCATGACTTGTAATTAACTACTTTTGAAAGAATAATTTAACTGTAAAAGAGAAATCATTGTGGAGCAGTTTGTGTGTTTTTACCTCTGAACAGTCTGAGAGGCAACCAAAAAGGACATTAGGTCTCCAGGAGACATTTCATTGCTTGTAATTAAAGTTCCTCCAGCAAAAATAGTTCCAAGGACAATGCCTGTATTAACATAACACAAAAACATTAGCATAATGTTGGTAGTTTACCAGCCTGCTAAACAGTGTGTCAACTAATTAACATTGTAAAAGACACTCACAGTTCAGGGCAATGTTTGACAGCCCTTGGAAAATGGCAATCCCAGTACCAAGATTTTCATTCATTTCACATGATTTGTCAACTTCATATGCATATAACCTGTGTAAAAACATTACGGAAATCAAAACATCATATCTCTGTCATAGATTTAGTGCTTTTCTGAAAGTACAAAAGGTAGAAGTATAACAAAAAATATTCTCACTTACTGGAGCTCTCGTTCCTCCATCGCAAAAGCTTTTACTGTGCGCACATTACCAAGTGCCTCATCTGCCACCCCTGTCGCCTTTGCTACCTTGCATTTGACAGCATGAAGTAAAAACACAGTCAGACAGCAAATTATACTAATTTTGCAAATAATAGCTCATGCAGTGCTTTTTATTGGTTGCTTTGAGTGCCAGTGGCACTAATAAATTAAGCACTGCTGCATACGTTTACATTTTACTGCATTTCAAAATAGGAGTTCAAACTTAACTAACATCTGCTGGCAGTAATTAGAACAAATCTTGAATTTATTAAGACAACTGCTATATGCTTATAATACATGAAATATAACATGGATAGTACAACACCTGCTCTTGAGCCAAGCGGGATAGTCTGCGAAGGAATGAGCCAATGAGAGCTCCTGCTCCCACTAGACAGGGGAGGACAAGTACTGTCAAACCTGTGAGTTTTGGAGAAATGACATAGAGGGAGACAAAACATCCAACTGTCTGTGTAATACTCCGCAGACCCTGAAAATATACCAAAAAAGTGCAAAAAAAATAAGAATTAGAAGCGTAAAACCAGAAAAACTTTAGTAGCAAAATCATCACTGCCGGATCGTTCTTGTGTTATTACCTGAGAAATAACGAGTTTAAAGGATGACTTGAACTCCTGAATGTCAGCAGTCAAACGATTCACCAGCTGCCCGGTTTTATTGGCATCGAAGAAAGCCACGTCTTGTCTGAATTGAAAGAAAGCAAAGAAGACAATGTGAACTATAAGAATCCCTGCCAGACAGTGGATGTCATACAGTCAGAGTTGCATGTATTTGGATTATGACACAGTTTTTGCAGTTGTGCTTCTGTACACCGCGACAAAAACTTTAAATTAGACAATCGAAGTGCAGACTTTCAAAAGGTTAATCAAAGATTTTGCACTAACTGCTTAGGAAGACAATTTTACACATAGTAATTGGATTACTTAAAATGCCCAGTTGCTTTTGATGTTTTGAAAATGGGTCACTGTGTTAGAAAAATGTCTGTAAATAAACATTACAGACATAAATTTGTTAATGCAAATTTCAGTCTGAAGTCTTTATGTTTTGAGTTAAAATCCTCTGTGGGGGGCACTTAGAGCCCAAATTACAAAACTTTTGTCATGGTCTAAATATTTCTGCACCAAACTATACATAACATTTATTGTATACATCATTTTTTCCTTTGTGTCAATATGTATGTATGTACCTCAGTAAGGATGCAAAAAGGGTCTTTCTCATGTCTGCCGCCACTCTTTCTCCCACCCTCGAGAGCAGAACAATATACCCACTCGTCAACAGTCCCTGCACAAAGGAGGCAATTAAGTACCAGTTAAATAAACTATTTTCATTGAATAGATTAAATAAATAAATTATACAGTGAGATCTTTAAGTGCCAAATGAGTAAGATGAGAGAAAATGTGTGTATACGGCTACACAACAATTTAATATAGTTAACTGAAAACGCACTGACTATAGTATTAGAATGACTGCATTATAAAGCTGATAATTGCAAACTTCATGACTGCAGTATTTATTTTGTGCTTGACTCATGTTCACAAGTAAGTTGTGCAACTAGTGAGATTTCACGTGTACTTACCTGGATACCATACAGTCCAAGTAATTTCAGGGCTGGACCTCTTATCTCATGAACATAATTCCCAGTATTTTCTCTCAGGTAGCGTGCCACAACATTTACCAGATCACCGAGCATCAAGGGGATTTGAATGTTCAAGATAGCAGCACCAAAAGCGAGCTGAGGAAAACAAAAACCCCCCCGCAAACATCCATTTTAAATGATAAGCATAAATGCTCTAACTGGCTAAAATCTTTTGCTTCACCGACATTCTTGATCAGTAAACAGATTCAGTCTTACCACAACAGCACAGACGAGAGCGAACAGCTGAGGTTTTACAAATTCCCACAGAACGTGCCATTTGAAGTCAGGCACTGGGTTTTTGGCTACAACTTCCACGGGGGTGTTATTATTCACATCTGCCTCACAGTGGGCTACATGGCAAAACAGTCGAGCTGAAACAGTAAGTACTGCTGGTCCCAGGATAAACTTCAAAGCTACTCCTGGGGGTTTCGATGTCCTGGTGGTGGACTGACGGACAGCTCTCTGAGTCAGGCTCCAAATGCGACTGACAGCACCGCCACGCTGCTGTGAGGAGCTGTTTGCATTAGACCCTGGGGATGTGTACCACCTGGATACAGACCAGGACAGAAATAAAATCAGGGAATCAAAATCATGAAGGTTTTGCAACACTAATATAACAAAAATCCTGGCCGTTATCAGCTAATCAGTTTTAAGGAATTCATTCCCCTGTGTTACAGTTGAGTAGCACAAGGAAATGTGGTCCAACTGAAACAACATTTTTGTTTTAAATATATTTTATTGACAACTTCGTATTAATTATATATATATATACACATTTATTTATACATTTCTTTATTTATAAATAAATAAATGTATATAAATTGAGAAATTAATGAGACAGAAAAAAACAAGAAAGCAAACAATGTTAAGAGAATCTGTATTTAACAATTATAACGAAGTGGCACTATAATCACAGTTACACAAAAGAAAGCATAAAGTATAAAACCAGTATAAAACTTTCTTGTCAGTTTTTTATATGTATATATATATAAAGTGATAATATGTGCAAATATAACGGATTTGCTCTATTGCGTTAGGATTACGTACGGCTCGTGTTAATAGGTGCGGTGATTACAGCGATTGATGAGCCTTTATCTACATGTGGGAATTTGAGTATAAACCGCAAATTGTTGTTTTTTTCTTCCAAAAGCCAAAGTTTAATTTAACAGAATACATTTACTTGAGTATGTTAATGCTACTTCACTATATTTTTTGGGTAAATGTTGAAGTTTTTATACATTTATCTTACAGTTCAGGAAAAATTCAGGAAAACTAGATATCTCAAAAGTTAGAAAGAAAAATCTCACATTTGTGTGTTTATGATTTAATATTTTTAATGTGGTTTTGTTTTGATTTGTTTTACTGTCACAGTACTGCTTTTTTCTTAGAGAAAAGATCTGAATAAGTCTGGCAGTGCTAAAGGAAATCAAAGTAGGTCAAGTGTGACAGTGAGGAGTACCACATATATGGGATTATACAACTGGTATAATCTACAGGTTGGCTGTCACTGGCTAAATTAGCTCCCGGTCACTTTAACCTACCGTGAAAACTTCCATAAGTCTGCACTTTTATTGCACCGGCAGTGCAACGACAATGGCCGTAATGGTACAGCAGCGATGTTTGCTCTACAACTGAGCAACTGAAGCATGCTTTATTCCTTTTTCAGTGATAATAAGCTCATGAGGTCAAAATAATCTTTAAGCTCTACGGTAATCCAGCGAAACTCTGCAGGCTGCCATGTTCAAACTCTCCCAGGATGCATTTCAGCTGGAAAGCTAGGACCGTTGCTTTAAGATGAATTTTGCTTTGTGAAACCCACAAGCAAGACGAATAAATGCTTACTTCACAGCAAGCTATATATCGATATTTGGGGATATTTGGACGACGCTAAAAGCGAAAATGTCGGACAACAGAGGGTCTGACATGTGAAAATTATTTAAAAAACTACAATTGCTACTCGGAAATTGCGTCAGTGTGATCAGAAGTGACGTCAAAGTCGTTTTGTTGACATTTGTTAGCGAAAGACAAAAACAGTGCACACGCACAGGTTGATGTATTTTTGGAAATCAAGTAACGGACCGCGGAACCGACCGAAGACAGCCGTGTTGTAACTGAAACGAAGTTGTGTGAGATAAGCGAGCTGTGGTGAAGAGGTGGACACTGAGCAGCAAACGCTAAAAAAGGGATAAAGATCAGCAGATGAACCGACGGTAGACGGGAACAAAACAAACCGTGTCACCCTGACTACAAGACTGGCTGAATCATTCACAGGTTAGCCAGCCGCTGCACAGTCATTTGGCTCAGGTAGTAGTCTTTTATTAACGTAAGGGACGCTCATTACTAACTATACGGAAGCTTCATGTGCTGAAATTTTAACTCCAACGCAGAATTTTACTTGTCATCATGGTCGTGTAGGGTTACACAAGCGCCGTCCGTTAGTGGAGCAGGTTAGCAGGCTAATGTTAGCTGTAGCTAACCTCCTTTCTTCCTGAAGTGCTCGAGCTGCTAAGTAGCTAGCTGCAGGATGTAGTTGTGGTTGCTAGTCTGCTTTCGTTTCGTATAGTCTTTAGTACAAGTAGCTCGTTAGTTGTGGAGAGGTGACCTGAAGAATGTGAAGCACAATGGCCAACTTTGAAGCTTACCAGGAGTATCAGAGAATTGATGACTACGAGGAGGACTCACCACCAGGAGAGGAGGATTTACTGGTCCACGTGCCTGAGGGCCTAAAAGGTAAACATATTATTATTGCTTACGTTAAAAGTGGTTTCTAATGTATGTTAAAGTTTTGTACTTGTTAAGGTTAAAAAGGCTGGCCATCTGCTGGCAAATGATGCAACAAAAGAGGTTAAGTAAGTTGTAAAAGACTTCTCCCTTTCCAATGGTCTCATTTCTGTTTCAGACTCATGGCACCATATCAAGAACCTGGATAACTTCTTTACAAGGATATCCTTTTAAACTCTGTGAACAAACTGGCGAAAGCCAGAATGATCCCTTTTACATCATTTGAATGTCACTTCTGCTGCTGCTGCTATGGGATCAAATATGAATATTTAGATATTGTGTTACATGGAACATTGTTATCACTTTACTGTGCAGTCAGCTTACTTATAGTGAATGTCCACACCCTAAATACTTATAGTTAAAATAATTGCCTACCTGTTCTAGGGCTGTTTAAAATTTTCCTTAACCATGTTGTTCACATCTATCATTTTCATCAAAAAAATGGCTTTGCCTGTATGATGTTTTCCGAGTTCTTTGAACTTGCGTAAGTACTGAGTTGCACAGAAATACTCACTATGTTGAGATGGCTAAAATATTGCACCATCATAGCAGGTGATACACATTGAATGCAAAACATTAGGTTGATGTGTGTTTGCAAATTTAAGAGGAAATTTGTTTGGCCTTGTGTATGTGTCTGTGAGTTAAGTGCACCCCAGCCTTTGATGACAATACCTTTTTTTTTAAGCAATTCCTTCTCTAAATGTTATTTTGTATCTTTTTTTAATGTGGTCATTTATTCTGTTATGACTTTTTCTGTTAGGATTAATCCCTTCACCAGCTGCCATGTTAATGCAACATATTTTTTATACTCCTGCTGTTTGTGCTGCTGCCATGCCTGTATGACATTTGTTATTCCTGGTGTTTATCAGATGGGGCGACTTTACTTAACTACAGTGTTATCCACTGATCAGTTGTTGTAGTGTATTGCTTATAACCTAATTATTTATAGCAGTTAAACATTAAACAGTTTTTATTGTTATCTTTTGGTTTTCTTGGTATTTTCATTAGGTGTGAAACCTAATCACTCTCTTTTTTTTTATCTCACCCTCACAGTCAGCTATTGTTTGTTGTCACATTCACAACGTTCCTTGTCAACTGCGTGGAATACGATGTCCTGTTTGCCAATCGAGCGGTCAACCACACAGGGCCAATCCAGAACCCTTTGGACCGGAACAAAGTCACACTGCCAGATGCCATCCTACCAACTCAGGAGTGCACTGCAAGGTAATGATGGCATATTACAATCCTACAGACACTTTAGGTGTCTGAAGGAGATTCGTTTTCTTTTTTTTCTGGTGGGAAAAGGATGAGTTGACTTAATCTGACAGAATGTACAGGCATGAAAAGTCATGCACATTCCAGGAAGTTTGATTAGACACTTTGTTCTCAAGCAGAGTCCAGGATTAGAGACAGGCCTTTAGAGGGATGTCATTATTCTGACTTAATACAGTCGCAATTAGACTTTCACACTAAATCTCTTTATGGGCTGTATACGATTTAGCTCAGAGTGCAAGTCCCATACAGTCCCATACTCTGAGAAAAGAAAAAAAAAAAACTATTTAACTGTAACCAGCATGTTTTCTCATTTAATCTTGAAATCTGTTAGAACTCACTTGCGTTTGTAATGCAAGGCAATGGTTTGTCATCAGATTAATTAGACTGGTTTCTATATTTCATTCAGTGTTTTTTTTTTTTGTTTGTTTGTTTGTTTGTTTGTTTTTTTCATTTTTGGTGTTTAATTCACCTTGAGATTGGTAGCTTGAACATTTCTGCAACTCATGGTTACTTGGAGGGAGGTGTTTGTTTTGAGAGTTCAGCCTGGCTTTGGAGAACAGAGCGATGTAATTGATAGCTATGGTGAGGTACAGCTAGCCAACCGCGATGCTGACAGCTTGGCTGGGACAGCGAGCTGACTACCACATGACACCTCACAAGCTGACTGGAGGAGTAAGCCCCCCACCTACCCCTCCCACTCCTGTGTTGTCACATTTATTTTTTTGACAACATGTAGCCTAGACTCAGCTTGACTGCAGCTCAATAGTTGTTTATATCAAAAGCAATGACGTCCGACTGCTTGGATTTCTAATTTGGGAACAACTTGTCCCACAGTTTAGGTTCTCTCTGTCCTCTTCATACCCCATATCTAATTTCCCTCATAAAGCAGCTTTAAAACGCTTGGACTGAAAACAAGATTGTATTTTGTTTAATACATCTGAATGTTACCTCATAAAGAGCTTTTACAGTTGCACTGAAATGTGCTAATGTTTGTTTAGACACATGGGAACATTAAAGGGTTTCCTTAAATTTAGAATATAATGTGCAGACATCCACCACTGTACTTTAAACACCCCCCCCACCAAAAACATGTTAACTGAAGTTTACTAGATTACTCCATCTAAGATCAGCTGTTGCATACTTCATATAAATATTATGTCATTAGATAATGAAGAGCCAACTTAAATTATTAGGAGAGGAGAGGTGAATGTGTGTAGATAGATAGATAGATAGATAGATAGATAGATAGATAGATAGATAGATGAATACTTTATTAATCCCGCAAGGGAAATTGTTGTGTTACTGCAGCATGATAAAGAGTAAAAATAGTACAGTCTACAATAAATGACAAATAAACAACACAGTTAAAATAAAAGTGCCACAGATGCCCAGTACGGGCCTTAAATTGAGAGTGCAGGAATTTTATACACACAACAGTGATTAAAAAACAAGTAAAAGTATAAATGAAGTTAGTTAAAAACCATAAAGTATGACCGACATTGTGTAAGAGATTTTACAATGACTCTACATTATGTACAGTGTTTACTATGTATGAATTGATACATGAAGTTAGCCATCTTTGAAAGAGGCTTTTGTTTCTGTTCAGGATTCAAGAGAACAGCTGGATCATATTCCTTCTCATCATGGCTGCTATATTCTGGATCTATCGTCTCGTTAAGGTCATTTGCAACTTTTTGAACTACTGGGAGATCAGGCAGTTCTACATCAAAGCACTGAAGATCAGAATGGTGAGTGCACCAACTTGAGACGAGTATTAAGGTCATTCAAACAAAATTTTTTGACTCATGTTCATTGGTATGCAGAGAGATGATAAATCTCAGTGTTTTAAATTGTGGCTTTGTCTCAATGTGAGTGGGTTCCTTGTGTCTTTCTCCCAGGATGAACTATGCAACTACACATGGCAGGAAGTCCAAGACCGTCTAATCAGCCTCCAGAGGGAACAGCAAATGTGCATTCACAAGAAAGAGCTGACAGAACTTGATATTTATCACCGGATCCTACGTTTTAAGAACTACATGGTGGCCATGATAAACAAATCCCTGCTGCCGGTGCACCTGCAGCTCCCCCTGCTGGGCAATGTGGTCTTTCTAACCCAGGGTCTGAAGTACAACTTTGAACTCATCCTTTTCTGGGGCCCTGGCTCACTCTTTCAGAATAAGTGGAACTTGCACCCCAAGTACAAGCGCAGTGGAAACCGCCTGGAGCTTGCCCAGCAGCTCAGCAGGGTCATCCTCCTGATGGGTTTGGCCAATTTGCTGCTATGTCCCTTCATCCTAGTGTGGCAGGTGCTCTATGCTTTCTTCAGCTACACAGAAGTGATCCGCAGAGAACCTGGGAGCTTGGGCGCACGTCGATGGTCCCTCTACGGTCGTTTATACCTGCGTCACTTCAATGAGCTGGACCATGAGCTGCACGGGCGTTTGGGTCGTGGCTACAAACCCACTTCCAAGTACATGAACTCGTTTACATCGCCACTGCTGACTGTGATTGCTAAGAACATTGCCTTCTTCTCAGGCTCAGTGCTGGCTGTTCTCATCGTACTTACAGTCTATGATGAGGATGTTCTGACAGTGCAGCACATTCTGACTGCTATTACTGTGCTGGGGGTGACTATAACTATTGCAAGGTGAGTCCTCAAAGCAAGCCCACCCAGTCAGTCATTGAAAAACAACTACAGTGTACACTGTTACCAATTATTTGTCTATTTTTATTTCATTTATTCAGCTGAAAGCTAATCAGTGAAGTAATTCTTTAAATAACTCTCATTAAAACTATGAGCAAGTATTAGATATTCTTCATCAGGTACTCCATCTGAATTTTTAACTTTTTGTGATAAAGCTTTTCTCTTTTGCTTATCCATTTGTCTCATATGTGCAGGTAATGCACAGCTGTAATGCTGACATTTTGTACCTTTCCCACGCCAGGTCTTTTATCCCAGATGAGCATATGGCGTGGTGTCCAGAACAGCTGCTGCAGTGTGTGCTGGCACACATTCACTATATGCCAGACCACTGGAGGGGCAACGCTAACAAGAGTGAGACCCGTGACGAGGTGGCACAGCTGTTCCAGTACAAAGCGGTGAGGAATGCAGAAAGTCAGTGGATAGGAACACACTTCTCACACTCAAGTCAGACTGTCAGACTGAAATTATGTGCTTGTTCTGGCTGTGATGAGGGTTTTTAATCCAGGACCTGGGTAATGCTAAAACTGTCAGATTGGTCACAGTCATATTTTTATAGGGTGTACATAA